AGAGAGAGACCGAGAGACAGACAGAGAGAGAGACCGAGAGAGAGACAGGGAGAGAGACAGAGAGAGAGACAGGCCCGTGTCCCGGAACAGAGAGGCCCACTTCTGGGATCACTTCTACGCCTTTGTGCTCATGCGAAGTCTGCGTAAAGTTGTCACTCACTCTGCTTTGTGGAGCCAAACACACGCCATTCAGCCCCGAGATTACGACTGACAACACAGTCTACATTGACGAAGAGTACAGACCCCAAAAACGGGTTTAAGTCGTTTCTGACAGACATGAACTATCTCGGCTCTCTCGAAAAACAAGTGCTGAGCGCGACCAGAAGAGAGACAGAGATACTCACACGTTCACAGTGGTGGTTCACTCATTCAGGTCATGACTTCTGTTTCATGGACGCGTCTGTACTCTTGATGTCGGCCGGTTTTCCTCAAAATGGCAGAGTGTAAATCCTGGGAGTTTGAACAGCGCAGCGCTTCCCCTCCCCGAGTTCACACAGACTGTCCTGCAGCGGGACACTTTGGGAAAGAGCAGCGCAGTGATGCGTTCACAGGCTGTGGGAAATGTCGCAATCAGGAGATGGGCGCGCATATACACACAGCAAGTAGCGAGTGAACTATTCAGCTTAAGTGATAATTAAGATAACAGGCCTACTGGTTGTATCCCCGTGTTTGGAAATAAACAATGCGCATACACTTTCAATAAATGAACCCATGTTCTCTCAAACGAATGATCAATTTAATACATTTCATTGTTTAGGTTTTGTAGGCTGTGTGTCAAAAACTGGACATTTACCCATAAACATTACATGTAAATCAAAGAATATGAATGCAGTAAGGAAGCCCATGGATAACATCTAATTACAACGTTGGCCGGATGGCAGTGTTGCAATTTTACAGATTCAGCAAAGGATGGATTTGAATAAAAGTGTGAAGCACAGTAGCAACAAGAGGCTTTACAATAAAAGATACAAGTATGTTCATGAGGAATAAAAGAGGTTGTGCAGGAACCATCTGTTTGTCCATTAATTTTGTTGACTTATGCTATTTATAAGAAAATACTTTAAACTCTGTCCCGTTATCATTTTGCCTACCTTTAGGAGCATATATTTCAAGCTGGGTATTTCAGCTAGCCACTTTTCCACCACTACACATTCTGCAGCCTCTGTGCTTCTTGAATGGCAAAAATGCAAAATACCAAATTTGTATTACCGTCATCACTATAGGCCAAAAGCTGTTGAATGCACAAATAAGTGGTGGTTACTACTTTGACCTCTGAAGTCGTGTTCCAAGAGTTCATGAAAGCATCATGAACTGAACTACAATGACACAACATGGTTTTCCTTCCAAATAAAGTGATGGAATCAAACAGTAATCTTTCAGTCCTCACATGTCTAGTTCAGTGGTGCTGCCTCATTTCCCCATGGTTAGGGTGTGTTATGGGCCGCTTTGTTTTTTTTAATTACAGGCAATTTAAAATCCCAGTTTCCTCCAACTCCCAGAAATGCAGCACGAAAAGATACAACAGGATCATCGATAGCAAGGAGACTCTGAATACATGAAGCATTTAAATGTTGAACAAGCTTTTTATTTTGTTTCACATGTTTATATGTGCTTTTGAAGAGGTTACATTGTGAGAATACAAGTGTTATTGTTCTTTAAAAAAAAATTTAAAAAAAATGAGTTTATTGGTAAATCTTTTATGATGAAACAGTTTGCGCAGGTGTAGACTATATATATTTTATTTTTTTTTTAATATAGATATTATACAGTACAATTATATCATGATTTCAAATGAGTGTATATTCACATTAACCCTTTTTGTGCATACATATTACAACATGAATTTAGAGACTGCTGTGCCACACCAGGCTTCTGAGTGCACATCCACACTTACTTTGGTGAAAAAAAACGACTATTGTTACAACTTCACAGAGACAGACTGACACCATTTTACGAGCTCCGACTTGTCCATCCCACCCTTTCTCGTCTAGGTAAACGCAGTTAATCAGTGCTTCAAGGCAGACGTTTCTACTCACCTTTTTTCCACTCTCACAGGACTGGACAACTTCCAAAATGAGGAATGAATTCAAGTTTCTCTTTGTTAGTTCCTCATTCCGGTTTTAAAGCCCTTCTTTACAGAAGCTCTTGATTGTATTGTGCTGCATGTACACATACAGGCCCGTGGAATCACTTTGCGAAAAATAATCTCTAATTTGATGTAAAACTAAATAATAAAATGTCAACGGTGTAAATCGATACTCGCGTGTTGTGAAGCCTGGTGCCACAGTCACACATACAGCCACACCAACGTTTACTCTGCTCCCACAGAGAAGCAGTAAGAGCGCAGTTTCATTTTCTTTTACACGTACGTTTAAAGCAGGAAAAGCACACACGCAGTTCAACAGGGTTTGGTCTTCAAGTCTCGACTTCAGTGAGCGTTGCCAACTTCGACTGTTCCCACTGTTTATCTTCCTCTGTCCCTTTTTTTTTTGGGGGGGGGGGGGAATGTTTCTCCCACTCTTGGCCAAAAAGGTCAAGCAGCAGCTTCTTGTACAGTTTCAGTAAAGCATTTGTTGCAACTCGTGGTGTGTTATAACGGTGCTGTGACAAGGAAAAGGGTCAAAAACAAAGAGAAGCTTCTTCAGTCAAACATGTTCAAGCCTCCATACGAGTTTGTGTTGCCACTGCCTGACAGTGGAGGGATCTGAGGCTCGTGTAGTCGTCCTGTGGTTTGGTGACAGTGCTGGGAGGCTCCACAGACCAGATCTTCTCTCACGGTGCCAAAATGGAGCCAGAGTTTAGAGGGCAGCTCTAGCGACCTTTGTTCTTTTTTGCATTTCCCTAAAGAAAACGGAAAACAAGAGAAAACACAAGCTCACTTCTGCAAAGAAACAATCAAAGTTTTGTGCCACATCTGGAAACAACTTAAGAACGGTGTTGCGTTTAAGTGCAGCAAGTTAAGATCGCTCAGATTTGCTCTACAGTCTGTTTCAAAAATCTAAAAACATGCTGAGGCTGGTCTCTCGCCTTCAAGAGAAAAATCACTACCTGTAACTCACAAACATGTTCTGTCTTGCAACTTCCCAACACACGGCCATCTGTGTGCACACAAGCAGGAACATGCGCGCTTAAAAAAAGAAAACGGGCCTCCCCATTTCTGCTGCCTTAGCTTAACGACTTCTTCAGATGGCTCCAGCAGGTGCTTTTCCCATCAGGCCCCACGACGGCAACCACAATACCGCCGATGACCTCACGGTTCACCTCATAACTGACAGAATCTTTACAATGTCACATTTCACCGCCAAACCTGAAATGATCCTACACGCTCCCTGAAGCCACTGGATTTATTTATCTTTTTATCACCACTCTTCAATGACGGAGCTCTTAAGATTTATTTATATGGAGACTGACGGCATGAGACAGCTGAAAAGCAAGAATAATAAAAAGCGGACACAAGGACAGGAAGGCGTCGTACCTTGCTGCCCAGCTTGAGCGTGTCGATTTCCTCCCTCTGCTTGCTCAAAGTCTCGTTCATACTGCACAGGTGGTCGCTCATCATGCTGAGCTGGTCTTCGTAGCTCCTCTTCGTTGTAGTCAGCTCGTCCTGTAGGTGAGACACCACAGTTACAATGAGCAGGAGGCTGCCGTCTACACTTAGGACAGGAAGCTCTTTGGTAATGGCTCCGTCTTTTTACCTGCAAGCGTGTGACGTTCTGATTCGCCAGTTTGACCTCCTCGCTCAGAGTCTCCCGGGATTTCTCTGCAATGGCTAATCTCTTGGCCAAAGCTCGACACTAGAAAGAGGGGAGAAGGAGAGTGAACAACGGCATGTCTGGCGTACTTAACAGATCTTTTTCTAAAAGCTGAAATGAAGGGAGATATTTCTCAGAGTAATGGGGATATTTGAGGACGGTGCCAAAGGTTTTAAAAAAGTGACAGTTTAATTCCAGAGACACCGACTCAAGATCAGGTGCGTTGCTGTTGCTACGATACAAAATGTTGATGACTGACATACCGGCTAATCACAACCCGACCGGATGTCACTTAGAGAAGAATCTACATTCAGATCAAGCTTCAGTGTAACGCTAAAAATATAAGGTGTCAGTTTCTCACTTGGTGATAATGAAACTCAAAAAAAACATTTCCAGAGCACAAATAGGAAAGAAAAGAGAAACAAGGTTCACTTCCTGGTTCAGTGTCTTTGCCCTCCGTCTCTCAAATTAAAGAAGCAGACAAAAATAGTACACACGAGGGAGCAGGGCAAGTCACTGCTCTGCACTGAATGCATTTGGTTGTAAGAGTTTTTCCATATCTCTTCCCAGATGACATGCAATGTCAGGGAGGCTGTGCGCGATGAAAAGGTCAGTTCTTTGCTGTGACAAGCAGTGCAGTTAGGGCTTCACCTCGGAGTGAAAATGCACAGCTTTGCTGTCTGAAATCTGGAGCTGGGTGGTGAGCTCTCCCACTCTGGCCATGTAGTGAGTCTTTATCAGCTGCTCCCGGGACTCCTCGTCTCCCCCCTGCAAAAAACACACACACACAGACACAACAGCCAACTAGATCAGACTTGTTTCCTTCTGGAATTTAAATATGTCAATTGGTTAAGTCTGTGACAACTCACGTGCTCAACTGTCGGTGTTGTGCACAGCATGCCAACCTGGAGACAAGGCAAAAGAGAGAAACACGTCAGGAGCTCGATCATAGACGGATGTTATTGCAAGAGACAATACGAGTAAAAGCTAAAACACAAGCCGTACAGAGACGAGTGAGTTAAGCTGCCCTGGATTGTGACTGTACTGTGAACTCTGCACCGACTTGCTCAAACAACAGTATTCTTCTATTCTGTAACAGTGTCTGTACCAGGCTGGTGCACAGCGCAGACTCTCTCCCCTCAGCCTGCTGCTCTTCCTCCGCTTCCTCGTGGCTTTCTGAGAGCGTGCCGTCTGCAGCTGGTTGCGAGTTTGGACTCCCCCCCACAGGTGCTGCGAGCTGCGCTTCCAGGTCCGCAATGCGCTGGTTCTCCTTTTCCAACCGCACCTTCCCCAGCTGGGCCTCCAGGAGCCAGTGCTCCTTCTCCTGCTCCAGCCGAGCAATCTTCTCCTGGCTCTGATGCACCTGCAGGGACGAGAGAGGAGAGGACAGTGAGCCGATGAGGTAGGTCAAGACATTTATTAAAACACTTTTTAATAACAGAAAAGGTGTGAAAGATGAGGTCCTGTGGTCTTTTCATGTCATTATTATGAGCAACTCTTCCATATCCCCGTCTTTCTCAGAAACCACTGACGGTGCTGTTCTGCAGTCACAACAAACATAATTGCGTGTGGAACCATTTTGGGCTTAACCTCCATGTTATTACATCACCGTCTCTAAGGCAACCACACCTGGCTGGCACATTGACTCACACATGGTCTAATTGTCCACATAACACTGGGTGTCTCTTTGGAAAAAAACAATCTTTTAATTTATGCGCTTTCAACCAACAAAAATGGTTTACAGCAAGACATTTGGAGCCGAGTGTCCTACCTGCTGGGTGAGACCTTCTCTGCTCTCGGTGGAGCTGGTGAGTACACGGCGGTTTGACAGAGCGTCTCTGTATGGAACGGACTGCGGCCTGCCCTGGAAAAAGAAACGGGAAGTATAGTGGAAAAGCGGTCATTTATAAATAAAAATCTCTTCTTTTACTGCAGCAGTGTTTGACAGTCTGCCGCACTAAGTCCTGGTCTTCAGCAGCGTGCCGTCGGTGTTGTTCAACTGCAGGTCGAAGGTGGCAGTAAAACCGGACCTGGGTCTGTCCCTGATTTCATGCCGACCCGATGGCGGGCATTATTAATAATAACTATATAGAAACAGCAAATCTTCTCGCTGATGATCTTGTTTACTCATGTAGGTCATAGAGACGCATCAGTATTAAATTGAGACCATTTCAAATGAAAATAAAAATTAAAAATGAAAGCAAAGCAAAAACAAGAAAAAAATGGCAAAAGAAGAGAATTAAAACCAGAGGAAAAGTATGAAATATTCAGAAATTCACAGATTAAAAAGACGTTACAGATATCGGCTTTGTAATCTCAATGGGCACAATATTCCAGAGTCTGGGGGCGTTAACTGCAAAGGCTGGGTCACTCTATCCTGAGCAAAGACCTGGAGATAAGCATTCGATTGGAGCGGATACTGACCTGTTTGATAGCATGTATATAGGCAGCTGCTTTCTTTTTGTTGGCCAGCATACTCTCTGCCTGCAAAGGGTTGAGTGCTACTGTGCTGCCTCTTGGACTGTAGCCCGATGACGTGAAGAAGTCCAAGTTGTTGCTAAAGAAGGTGGCAATCTGCAACAAAACAGTGGCATAATGTCTCGTATCATTCAAAATCAGAGAGATCCTCGCAGCCTCCTTATTTAAAGAAACACTAATTACGCCCGCATGTCTCAATGCAGATACTCAGCATTCTGTTTCACCTCCAATTAACCAGTGTGTTTACGACAGAGATTATCAGACCACCAAGCGTCTAGGATGATAAACGTCGGAGCAATTAAGCTTTCGCCTGCAGAGATGATCACTCTCAAAGCGTAGCTCACTCCACACATCACATGCCAGCGTGGTATTCAGAGCGGCAACTGTGCCGCCGGACTGTGCCGCCCATCAGCAGACACACCTCAGCCAACGCTTCACTTGATTCACAAAGAGAAATCTGGGTTCCCCCCCCCCCCCCCCCCTTTACTCCGACTGGGGAGCAGCTGTACACACTGCGAGTTGGACGGTATCTTTGAACATTTAACGGCTGTCCACCTGAGTCCTGTCGTTCTGCGGTGAGAAAAACTACCGATTCCAGTTGCAGTGAAATCTCACCGCTACTTGCAATTAGGCTTTTTGTGCTTCACATCGGCAACAAATAGCATGCGGTTATAGGGGACAATAAACCTGGCTGCAGCCTGCCCCCTGTTGGCCATACCTTGCCGGTGCTGCTGGTCAGAGAGCCCAAAGATCCCAGCAGGCACTCTGTGGTGGTGCAGAGCTTCTGGGTGATGGTGGGGAGCTCCTGCTCAAAGCTGGCCTTCTGGTTATAGTGCTTTGACATCTCTGGACACAGGGGGAGGGGGGGGGGGACACAGAACATTAGGGGAGAGCATTTACGGCATCTGTTGGCTCGATGCGATTGCATTTCATATAGTAAAACTGCATGACTTTAATGTCTGTTTGACCACAATCACTGTCCCCACAAGTACCAAGACAAAGATCCTCATTTCCACTCAGCCAATGTGTCACCTGAGAGCACGAAATTATACTTCCATGTCCCATTGCAGTGTGGTAGGCGCTTTTTGAAAGGCAACAGCAGCGAGGTGGATACGTGAGGGAATCGCTGTGCTGCAACACACTGGTTGTGAATGGCTGCGGATAAAAAATAAATTAAAAAAAAAAAAAGGCTGTCAGTGCTGCTCACCTTTAATGACATCGTGAAGACTGTGGAGGCAGGCGGCCAGCTGGGTGAAGACAGCCGAGGTGCTGCTCTGTGGCATGGCATCCTGCCGAACACCTGAGACACATCGCACACATTTGTAAAACAAGCATATCGGATCACTTCACAGCAGCAACTGGTCTTTCCATGAATACAAGCTACTTTAAAATACTGCCACCGTTTCTTCTTTTTTTTGTAACCATTCAAATTTGAATGTTACTTTTCTAATCCAGCATTAACTGTGATAGTGGACAGAACGTATCAAATGTTCACCGGGTCCTGAGTAAAGCGCAGGGCCTGACCTGCTAAAAGCTAAAACAAGTCCCGCCCTCAATGCTTTATCACCGTTGACCTACTGGGTAAGGCCAAAAGCTTAATGTAGCTCTGCAGCTTCTCGAACACAGAAGTCACTCTCTTCATGTCACTCTGCAACTCCTGATTTTTCGCATTCAGGGCAGCCGTGCAGAGAGGTGTGTTGCACTCTTCTTCTAGGCTGAAAAGAGAGGAGAAGATCAATAAAGCCTTGCTCTCACATTTTTACACAACCCCCCCCCCACCCACACACACACACACACACACACACACACACACACACACACACACACAGAAGAACTGACCTTTTCAGCTGGTAGGGAAGAATCTTTAGCAGGAAGCCGGTGTATGAGGAGAAATTATCAGCAAAGCCCTTCAGCTTGACCACAGTCTCCTTCAAGTCAAGAAAACAAAAGGGACACAGCTGGTGGTTGGCTGCAAGCGAGCATCGTGAACGAGCCCTCACAATGTCCCTGTCCAAAAAAACCCACTCACCAGTACTGTGACGGTGTCCTCTGTGATGCTTTGGTGTAGCTGTAGAAAGCCGTCCTCCAGGGGGCGCACATAGGCTGCATTCTCATGGAGATACTGAGAAAACTATGTAGACAAGAGGAATCATGCATTTAAGCTGCATTTAAGCTCTTCTTCTATTGTTGACCGAAATGTACATCTGTTATGTGATGATCTGTCGGTGGCCTCACCTTCTGGTTTAGGGGGGAGATGGGCTCAATGGAGGAGTCCAGGGGATAGATGTGCACTCTCTGTTCTGTGTACGAGTGGAAGTTCAGCAGAGCCGCCACCAGGTCCTGAATGAAGCTCAGGGCCTGACCCGCCACGTCCCGGGCTTTAAGCTGAAACCACAGGAAGAGCACACTCTGTTTTAATGGGGGAAATGTGTGACATATGGCATCAAATGTATCTCTGCCAAACAATTAGGTGATTAATTGATGAGTCAATCTAAAGACAATTAATCTGCGACTATTTTGATAACCGATTCATTTTTGATGACGACGGAGACGAGGCAGAACGGTTCAAGTCGACCCTCAACGAAGAAGACGAGCGGGTTCTGAAGATATCAGAGAAAGAGGAATCCAGCGAGAGATGGAAGAGTGAGATTCAACGAACTACAATCATCCAACCAGATGCAGACGTTCAAAGAGGAACAGCGGTCTGCCCATCAGAGCCGTCAGGTGAAACGACACCATACCCAGATGTTGCCACATGAAATAATCTTAGATATAAATATCTTAGACCTAATGATCATTATCGTTATTCATTGTACTGCGCATCATGTTCTTCATTCATTCAATATTTTTGTCCATCTTTTTGTTTATTCATTTATTTTCTGTTTAGTAGTTTAGTTGTGTAGTTAGTCTAATAAATGTTCCATGAATAAAAAACTTGATCATTTGATTTGTGTGTATATGAAATAATAATAATAGGTCTCTGTACACTTTGAGAAGGACTCCGTAGCAACCCTGAGATTAAGATTGAATTGGTCAATATCAAATCTTGAAGTTTTACCTATTTTTCCAAAATTGAGTGGCGTCCAAAATTGAATCTTCTGTTAAATTCTGTTAGTTAAACTAGATGTGGCTCATGGCGTAAGCTGAGTGCCATCATTCCTTTATACTAATGTTTGGGTTTATAGCTTATAATTGAATTATTAACAATAATTACATATCTTGATATTAATTAACTATTATTTATTAGATCTGCTACCAGCAACAATGCTACACTTTTATCCAATGTGCACTCTAAACCAATCTAAAAATGGGCTTTGTCTTCTCCCTCACCTGGTGCCTTCGGTTGTGTGGTGGCACATTTAGGCTGTTGTAGTCACCAAATTCTGCAGAGTAGAAGAGAAAGGCAGTCAGACCGGAGCAGAACTTTATTGACACGACAAATATAGCTTCAGTAGTTCAGCCTCCTGCCTCATAGCGTGCAATATTACAGTTTGGTGCGTTTACTCCTGGGCAGACGTGAATGTTCTCAAATAGATGTCTGCTCTATGGCCCATCATGTTTGTCCAAGTGGCTCAGAGATACTCACTGGTGTCATTGAAGGGCACTTTCTCCTGGATAACACTGCTGCTTTGTTTCACCTGTCTGTTCAGCTCGGACTGGCACCGCCTCAACTGCTGCTGGCTGCAGAAAGAGAGCAAAAAACAACAGATGAAATGATGCATTTTACTTAGAATGCTGGTACGTGATAGTTTCACAGGTCTTTTTTTAACACTGATGTAGTGGTTTTTTTGCATGCATCCACTTCTGGTTCTCTGACACCACATTGGTGGATTAAATCTTTCTCAAACCGTGAATAAAAAGAATGATGTACCACTCTTCTGTTCGCATTCTGCACTCTTTGGCTTCCCTCTCCAGAGTGTGAGCTTTCACCTGTCAGAAGACAAAACAAAAATACACACATTGTAATAAACTTCCGTAAAACTTAAAATGACATAATGTACATCCTCCTCCTCCTCCTCCTCCTCCTCACCTCGAAGCGAGCCTTGTCACTCTGCAGACGGACGATTGTTTCCATGTACTTGGTGGTGAGTCCGTCCACAACAGCCTGGTGCTGCCCGGAGTCTGTTTCCAGCTCCTGTAGTCGAGTCGTCAGCTCAGCCTCCTGCTTCCTGTGATGCTCGTCTGCTTCATAGAACTAATGCGGAGACGGCAGAAAACAGACCCATCACATGCACGGCCCCACCAGCACATCGACCTTATATACAGAGCAATGAAAGACCGAAGACTGAAGACTAAAACACAACGCGGACGCTTACTTGGATGTGAAGTCGCTCGTTTTCTTCGATCTTTTTCTGCAAGTCCTCGTCAAAAACACTCTGAGTCTCCAGGCCGTGCTGTGACGGAGAGTCTGCTTTGCTCTGGAGGAGGTAGAGGTAGTGTTAATTGTGATCTTCTGGCACTACAAAGATTAGGGTTTAATGATAATCATTATTGATTTGGTGAATTTCATAATCACTCGTGCTTTTTGCTATTTCCTGTCCACATGAGTACATCCTGTTCCCTCTACCCAACTGTGTGGCCTCTCCCTTATTTCCCCTCGTGATCACCTTCCCCTTTTTGCCCTTGGATTCACTGACAGCGAGCTCCTCTTGGAGCAGCTCCACCCTTTTGGCCAGCTGTTGGTTCCTGAAGCTGAGACTGTCCATCTCCTGCTCCTGCTTCCTCAGGCTCTGGTCCCTCTGCTTGAGCTGCTCCTGAGGAGGATAATGACAAACACATGTCGCATATCAGCGTGCGGTACATTTCTTCACACCAAACAGCGCACTGAGCAAATCACTAAATCGTGATAATATTATCAAGGAAATTCTGTCATGACAGAGATTTGATGATGATTTTTCTAGAAAAGCTTCAAGTTTTCATTTGAGCAACAAACCAAAACCGCTCATGACTTTGTAGGAGAGACAGTTGGTCCAGACCCTCGTGGAGGGCTGGTGCCTGAAAGTTGGAGTCAATTTTGTCACAAACTGTGCAGAGTAGCAAAGTGCCAGACTGGACTGAAATAAAAAAAAATACTGCACTCGTGTCGAGTGTATTGTTCAGGATGATAGAAACTAACAAATGAAACAATCCAGAACAACAGCTGAGAAGCTTCTGATGGTTCAGCTGGCCGTTTATGCTCCACCTGGCAGACAAAGAGGCAGAACCAGAGGCCGAGGACTCAGATATTTGATTAACTTCATTTTCACAATATCAATATATAAAGAGCTGATATTAAAAAAAAAGGTTCCTGGCAAATATGGCGAAGCTGACATTGTGCAAGACAAGCAACACTGCAATAAGTACTCGTAAGATTAAGTGAACATCTGGATTTGTTTAGCAAATATGAAAATTTAGTAATTTACAACACTCTTCTCATGGATCACAGTTCATAATATGATCTAGAATCTCCAAAGCATTATAGTTGTGGCTTAATTTTTAAGCCTCCACCAGGAGTAAAATTGTGCCTAACAGCTGTGGATCATAATTAGTCTTTTCTGTTGTTCTAAGTCACTTTACCTTAAATGAGGCGGAGTTGGCCTGTTCATCTACAACTGCCTTCTTCAGCACCTGGTTCTGGGCACGGAGCTGTGAGAGAATGAGACATAAGTTCAACATATGTATACATTTAATGTATGTCTTATATCTCAATGTATATCACAAATCAGTGGTATATATTGAGATGCTAAGGAAGTTTTCAAATAAATAACATGTATGAATCATCTTAAACTGAAAACACATTTATCTTTACACAGAAAATCTCTGGCATATGCTTGTGTGAGGTTGCTGTTTATTCATCCAATTCTGCCGAACACGAAGAGAAAAGTCACTAAAATAATTAAAAATCAGCGCTCTTCTCTGAATGGCTCGTGGCCTTTAAACACAAACTTAACTAAGCATAACAGCAGTGTGTGTGTGTGTGTGTGTGTGTGTGTGTGACAGCTGCATAGTCAGCACTTCCTAAGAAGGATATGGTGCTTGGCTAACGGGGAGATCAGAGTCAAACAGGAAGCAGCACAAACTCCCCGTGCTGCCAGCTGACACAGAAACAAAGGGCGCAAACAGCAAAGAGAGAAAACGCAGACTCACAGGCTTTACTGTCACTAGTTAACACATTAACCACATGTTGATAACTTTAACGCAGTGTGATCTTTAGCTGTTCAGTGTGTCACATTCAAGCTTAAACACAACACGAGAACCATCATCCTAAAACATCTGGTCTTGTGCTTTATCACAATATGAAATCAGTGTACACATACGTTTACACCTCTACCTATACCTACAGTATCGTGTCCAGTCTTTGTTCACACCGTGTCAGAGAGTCCTGTTGATTCAATTGTTTGGTGCATTTTGTAGTTTGCAGTTTGCAGTTTTATGCGTGTTGCATTCTATTGTATTATACTTATAGGTCCAAGTCTAAGAAAATACAATTCAACCGCACCACAAAGTGCATCTCCAAAAATGATCAAATCAACAGCTCTTTAAAACAATAGAACCTTCATGAAGATAGGATGTATAAGGTATTGTATTAACTAGTTTATACAATGTATTCGTTTCAGATACGTGTAATTAACTCAATGTTGAGTGCAACTCCGTGCACTGACCAGAGCTCTGCATGTTTAGCTTCAACTATGGATCGCACTCCAGTAAAGCCCAGTCTCGTATATGAGTAAATACGTTTAGGTAGCATTCGTCATTGATTACAGGTGCATATTGATACAGCATTAGAAGGTGGCTAATGCTAATGCTTCTGAGTTGCAGCCTTGTCAGTAGTTCAGCTAACTGTGTATTTAACAATAACATTAAATGTTTTACCTTGGAGTACTCCTGTGCCAGCTTGCTGTATTTTGTCTGGAGGTCTGTAACGTTAGCCATTGTCGTTGGACACGTTCACGTTATCGATAAAACGTTGACGCTAGTAAACCGTATCCTCGCTAGCTGATGTGTGTACAGTTAGCTTGTACTCTGGTTAGCTAGTTCACAGTTCTCATTCAGGACTTCAGGGCGGCTTGTTCGGTTACTTTGATAAACTAACCTAGAAAACATTGTCACAGAGGGACGGACGTGAGTCCCGGTGAAAGAAGTGGTCGGTGGTCATCTGATTTACGCTAATTTCTAAAGCCGGATGTTATTCCGACTTGACAGCAACGGCTTTTTTAAGTTAGCACTATCGCCGGTAGCCTGCTAGCTAGCTGACTGTCTTAGCCAACAGCTATCTAGCTTGTAGCAAAACAAATCCCGACACCGAGTAACACATGTAGGTCATAACACGTGACAGCAGCCGTATAACACGCTGCGTCCGCAGATCCTATTACCGAGTGAGTGTATCTGCTGCTAAGCTAATCAAACAAGCATTGACAGCCATTCATCTGAAGGAATACATTCATTCTCTAAGAAGCAAATAGCTTCCTCCAACGAGACTCCGACCACAGACACAAGCACAGAGGTCAGAGGTCAGGAAATAGAAAAGGGGTGAGCTGGTGTAAACAGTGCGCCCTCTAGCGTTTGAATGAAGAGCAAATTAGATGGACAGACAGACAGACAGATAAATAGACAGACAGACAGACAAACAGATATATAGACAGACAGACAGACAGACAGACAGACCGACAGATAAATAGACAGAGAGACAGACAAACAGATAAATAGACAGACAGACAGACAGACAAACAGATATATAGACAGACAGACAGACAGACAAACAGATATATAGACAGACAGACAGACAGACAGACAGACAGATAAATAGACAGACAGACAGACAGATAAATAGACAGACAGACAGACAGATAAATAGACAGACAGACAGACAGACAGACAAACAGATAAATAGACAGAGAGACAGACAGACGGACAGACAGTTCTTCATAATGAGTACTTTTTGTGTTTTTTTATACTTGATAACTTATGTACTTTGACTTGTAATACTGTATATTTGACTTAATAATAAAGTATTTAATAATAAAGTATTTCAACACTGGCATTACTAAATATATTATATTGATTAGTGTGAGAGAAAATAGAGATAATATTATCTATGAACATCTTTTCCTCTCCGTGTAACTAGAACTAAGTGCAGTGACGTCACAGCTGAATTATTTACTGCTGGCTTTGAGTGTGGTATGTGTTGCATTAACAAAAACAAGGTCAGAAATCACAAGCGGGTTGTATCTTCTGTGAAAGACCCTTTAAAACGCACATGACCTGGTTTAGACTCGAAGTGAAATGACATGTTGCTAATGCAGCCATCGCAGCTCAAATCCTACAAGATTAATTTCACCTAATCCATAATAATCTCTTTAGATGTATTTCTCCACATACTATAACCATTTTCTTCTCATTTCTAAAGAAGTTATAACTGCCGACTTCTTATTTTATCAGCTGTTAAAATTGATAACGTGAAAATATTTACAAAAAGGCTCATTTGCTTGAATGTTTTGCATCAAAGAAAGACGTTTCCTCTGCTGCTGCTCCACTGTTCCCGATCAGGCAAAAACACAAACTCTGACATGCACACCGCAGCCAGTGGCTCCAGCATTGTCTGGTTGCCTGGCAACTGTCGGCGTGGCGTGGTTGCTAGGGCCGTGTGGGAGGGGGGGGGGGGGGATGCTGCTCTGATTTCCAGCTGAATTGAGGCAGTCAGTAGGGAGAAGCCCCCCCCTCTTCCACACACACACACACACACACACACACACACACACACACAGGACTCTATTGAACAATAGAGCTGTGCCAATGGGCCCGAGGCTAGTCAGACGAGCCCTTGTTCAGGGTCACACTGTGTTCATCCCACAGTCCTCCATGACTAATTAACTTACAGTGCGGCGTTGGGACATCTGATGATGCATCCAGCACTGGCACAGCCCTGGAATTTACATTAATGTGAGGTGCATTTCTGGCAGTCGGCCATGTTGGTGCAATCAAAAGACACAGAAGAAGAAGAAGTGTGGATGGAGCCGCCCCACGTAGTGCCGAGCACAGCTTGTGCAGTCAAAACAGCTCCGAACCACTGGTGGGAAATATTTGCCAGCTGTAACATGGTTATGAGAAAAGCAGTCACATGGAGAGGTAGTTATTCTAAAGAATATTAACAAGAACTTCAATCTGGTGGCCTTCACAGCAGGTGGCAATGTTGATCAAAAGGTGTACTCGTGTAGGCTACTAATGTAAAGCGATGGCTGTCTTGTGTTGTGGAGGAGAGTTTGGAGGGCAAGAAAATGTGTCAAGTCTTATTTATTGTGATAAAGTGCTGCTGCTCTGACCAGAATAAAAAGACAGTGGAAACAAGAACAGGTTTTTATTAATATTTTGTAATACCATATATAATGCAATTGCATATCTTTGGCGAAAATAAATCTTATAAACATTTTATCAACAGAGGTTAGCATACAAAAACCAAAAGGTGTGTCGGTCCAACAGACGTGGCAGACAGCTGACACAAACTGATACTGGGTTGGCAACTTTGTCGAATGCAAACGAAAATGTTCATCCTACCCTTCAGGAACTGCAAGAGAAATTTTGAGAATCACACAATTATTATTCAAAAACAGCTGTGGAGCAGTGGAGGAGCTGGTTTCTTGTTAGCGTTGGACGCCGAAATGTTTAGGTGGCTCATCCACAGAGTCTGATCCAGTTTGTACTCCACATCCCGTAACAATACCCGGAAGCATGAGTCATGAGTGGCAGTCAGCTTTTCTTTTTTTTTTTTTGAAAGACTCTAATCTGTGATGAGATCGAGAGCCAAAATTCAATTTGTGACAACTTAGTCACAATAACATTAACATGAGAGAAATGTAATTAAAAAAAAAAAAAAAAAGATTCAATCTTTGTCAATGAACTTCTGCAGTATGAGGGGAAAGTGTCCATCTTACATTTTACACCCCGGCTGTGCGTCAATTTTGGCAACAAAAGGTTTTTCAGGATTAATGTTAAACTATCCAGCCTAACAAAAAGCAAAACAAAACATCAAGAGAACCTGGCAGTCATGGTTAGATTGAAAAAAATAAAACACCCGCTCTAAAGACAATAGACATTGGCAAAAATACTTAATCACTATAACATAGTGAAAGAAAACAAAAGTGTATTGCTGTAAAATAAGACGAGGAGAAAAACAAAATACTTATTAAGTGGAGTTCAGAGGGAGAAAAATAAATGTGCCCAGTCACTCGTTTCAGATGACCAGTGTTTGATAGACTCTGCATTCAAGAATCCCATAAATTAACATCATAAATAAGGTGATGATTAATGAACAATAACTTGTTCTGTTTTTTTTTTTCACAGCTAAACAAGACCAGTGTATGCAAGTATTACTTCTGAGAACTGAAGCAGTTCCCACTCTAAAGCTACAGAAATAACCCGAGAGAGAGAGAGACGGGCTCAGTCACTGTACTGACCCGCGTCCTCTCTCTCCCACTTCCTGTCCCGATGATTCAGAAAACTGGAGCATTGTTACTCTCACGACTGTATAGTTACAATGGCCCTTTGCACTTCTACATCAGTGGCACAAGAACATGTTTGGCACTGACCACGCATGCTCTGCTAACAGTCACCGTGACCGTGTGATCTAGTGCTGCAGGAAGAAATATTAGGATTTTCTGTTTGTTGCCCCCCCCCCCCGTGAGTGTCCATGCTACCTTGTATTGTACACTGCCAGTACACAGCCTTTTAAAAAAAAAAAAAAAAAAAAAAGCTCCATTGAGAATCGTGGCCTTTTACACAAGCGGCTCGCAACTTCCCCTCAGTGAACTGCATGCAATCAACTGACAATAAACTCCGTTTCACAGCTTGAGAAGAGAGCGCGCACTTCCTTATTTTTGTTCTAGGAGGAAGAGCGAGGACGAAACACTTGTGGCCAGAGCTGTGGGCACAACGTAAGAGCAGCGCGGGTCTCCAACTCCTCCGGTTCTCTCTGGCCGGCCCCTTCTCGGTCTTTACACTTCGATATGCACCAAACAGACACACCCTCCCTCAGTTGTGAATTCACTTTGCCACAGGATCAGCAAACAGAAAATCAGCTGTGTCATTTTCTAATTTTCTAAAGTACATGATCTAAAAACAGGAGATCTGCAAACCCAATTAATGGAGCGAGAAGCTGTGTGAGTTTACTGCCCGCTCCTTTCTGTGATTATTAAACAGCTCTGCATTCAGAAGCAAGCAGAGCACCAAGCAGCCCCACAACACAGCTGTAGCAAGGAGATCGGTCACGACACCGAGCGCACGAATACTTTGTCAGGAGAGGAGAAAGTGTTTGGCCATTTCAAAACTCTTTCAACAAGACCGTCATATCTCAGGTTTAGGCTGACATGCACTATGATACACACACACACGAAATAAAATTAAATCTATGGAGGATAACCTATGAACAGGCAGTGAACATCTGGTGGCAGATGTTCCCTTTGCATAGGCTGTCACCAAACATGTGAATATATGTCTGCACGATAAATGTCAAAAACACACCGATGAATGAAGGGGATGGACAGGATGAGCGGTTGATTTGCAAAAGAAAAAGAAAGAAAAGAAAACTTTCGTTCGTATAGCACTGTAATGGCCGCACCGAAGTAGTTTAGCGAACTTTGCAACTAAATTTGGCAGTGGCAGAGTAATACTATATCCACATAATCCTGAAATAGAGCCAGAGCTTGTGTGTAATACGGTTATCGCAGAACAAGATAATAGTACTACTCCATTCATTTGTCTTAATTGTAAAGTTGAACTAGCGTACTCAACTCTGAAAAAAACGCCACCATGAAATGAAGAAAAGTTAAGGTTGTGGATAATTATTGCATCTCTCTTACAAGAGGATTCATGGTGCAGGGACTCCTTTCAAAGCATGTGGCATTTCTTTTTTTCTTCAGCACAAAAAGGAGAGAATGGTAACACCAGGAGGTTCGGTTTTGTCTGTTACAAACATGCACTCATTCGCTTCATAAATAGATTCACTTGGAAGAGGATACAGGTTTGAGGAGGAAGCATGCAACGCTTTGAGTTATAAAACCTTCAGCTTTTTCCCATCTTTGTCTTTTTTAGAGGAAAAGAATCTTGAATCACAATCTTCTAATCCAACAGAAGCAGGCAGGTCATTTTGGATAGGGGGTTTCTTGATGGTTCTCCATAAGCCCAAACACCCGCCCCCAGCAGTCCCCCCCCCCCCCCCCCCCTCCCGAGGTACAGAAGTCTCTATATGGCTTTGTTCTCCTGTGTGAACGATACTATTGCCATTTGTTTTGTTGGACGGGGATATTCCCAAACAAAAAAAAAAAAAGGCTCAAAATGGCCAATGAACGATCAGATAAGGAGAAGGAGGCACACTCGGACACACGATCAGGGGTCAGAGGTTAGGGTTCACAGGGTCTGGAGTCTGATGAGGGGGAGGGGGGGGGGGCAAAAATAATCTTCATTTCCTGTTCAGTTTTGTGCTCTTGACAGTGCGTTTGGAGCCCTCTGTACAGCTGCGTATACCGGCGAGGTGCAGCAAGGACCCGGCGGCTTCCTTCAGCTCCTCGTCCAGCTCCGGCTTGACCTCGCGCCGCGCCCTCTTGCCGGCGGGCCACTTGATGGCGGGCGGACGCCGGGACGTCTGGTGGACGCCCCTCTCGTCCCAGAGGTCGGAGTCCTCGTCGCTGTGGAAGCCCTCGCTGCCGGCGCGGTGGGACTGCCCGTGGTCGCAGCCCCCTTCGTCCAGGGAGGAGAGAGACGAGGAGGAGGAGCGGGAGGAGCAGCGCTGCAGGGCCACGCTGCTGTAGTTGTGGTCCTGCTTCGGATCGCTGCTCACCAGCACGGAGTCGGGTCGGGAGAGGTCCAGAGGGCCGTCAGAGTTGCCTGAAGAGAGCGTAGGATTGAGAGAGTGATGAGTACACGTTCAAATGCAAAAGCATATATTTTATATCTTAGTTACAGAATGGCTAATGCGCTAAATATTGCATGTCGTGTAAAACTAGATTAAAAGTCCCACGCTTTAGTTGACAGACACCAGGAAAATCCTGTCCTATGCAAGTTCTTATGTAACTTTACAGTTAACTAGATTTTATTTGTTTTTAAGTTACAGTGAACCATATGCTGTAGCTTTGGCTGGCTTTGTTTACAAATATAAAGCAGAAGTGATACTTGTCACAGCCCAAGAGGGAACACCCAGATTAAAAATATTATCTCGTTAAAGCAGAACATTGACGGGGAAAGTAGAAATATTAGCAAAACCCAACCGCACTGAAATAATCCTGAGAAGGCTCCTGCCGTCATTGAAACAAGTTAGTTTAGTAAAGGTTCAATACAATTATGATCTAATGTAAGATATAAGCAACAGCAGCCAGTAAGTTTGATTAAAAAGAGCCAGACGATCCTTTTCCCCCTATTTCCAACCTTTATGCTAAGCTAACTGGCTGCTGTGTCTAGTATTTCCCAAATGTTGACCTAGAGTCTGCAGGAGAAATTGTATGCAATCATGCAATCATGTTCTGGAAACAACATTTTGCCTGTAACAACAGGAGACTTGCACACAAATTAAAGCACAAAAAATAAAAAGATGACATAAGCAATGGCAGGGCGGTATGTCGAGGGTAGGAAGACAAAGAGTTGGAAGTATGAAAGTATGGCTGCTTGTGGATTCTCTTACATGGGTCAACGTGGTGCCCGGGGGCAGAGTTTAAGAGCATCATGGCAGTGGCAGCATCAATGTCAGACTCTGGAAGAGGAGAGAACATGCATGATGGTCAGTCCTGAGCTGTGAAAGCATGCTAGCATGGCATCTCTACTCGGACCGGGCTCCTTTCGATCATTTTAAACCGGGGGGGACAGAGCGGCCCAATCAAACGCTCACAGAATGGACTGGATGTGCAGGAGGCTCCCCCGAAACAAACCGGAGGATGAATTGAAGCCATTGATATCGCATCCGACTCTTTTTCAGACCTGACACAAGTGTCTAAAAGCCTCGTAGCTCACTTCTGGGGCTCTAAATTATTAATGATTACAGTGAGACTGAGTGCTCGACTCAGCACCAGCAGAACCTCTGCCTGTCGTCAAGGTTACAAATCCAAGAGGCAGGGGGGGGGGCTGATGCATCGACTGGGAGCTCTCTCTACATTATGGTCTACATGAGGCATCAATGACTCGAAAGCAACAAATCAAACCAAGAGTTGAGGATACAAGCACGGTGATGTTGAATGTTCTGGGACTGAAATGTGAAACAGGCGACACAATCAAAATACCACACAGACACAAGCTAACAGAGACCGCAGTGATTGGAATTCCTGCTTTTAATGTACATGTGGAAACTTAAAAACACCGAGCTGGTTCGTCTTCCGCCCTCACCTTTTAATGAGCAGCCTTGTAGAAAGAGATGGCGAGGGGGCGAGGAGGCACTGCAGAATGTAAACAAAGAAAAAAACCACACACAAAAAAGGTCAGATCTGGAGTTTGTGAAGGAGATGTGAAGAAAATGAAAAATGTCAGCCTTTTATTTAAAAAGGATGAAATGTTGTGATATGCCTCGCTAACAATGCCGAGTCCAATAAATAAACGGAGCACGGTATTACTGACACAAATATATAGTTCACAACGTCCAGAGGGTGACTGGGGATGGTTTACCTGGGTGGGGAGGCGGGTGGTGTGCAGAAGGCATGTGCGGCAGGGAAGTGCTGCTTCTTAAGGGCTTGGATCAGGTTGGGGCGGTACTCGGGGTCAACACACCAGAGAGAACCTTTTCCATTGGCCTGTGGAACAGAGCAGGGACATCAAACCTCTGACCCGGGATACAGAGGCAGACACTTTCAGCAACAAACTGTGAGAAGAATTGTGATTTTGTAAATCAATGATGGTCTTGTATAGTTTGTCTGGAATGTATTCCGATTGGTCCTTTGATTGTGTTTAAACAAAGGTACCCTGTGGATTTTCATGTAAACAAACAAAAGTCATGTTTAAATTGAGTGTTTCTCACCAGAACTTGAAACGGTGGGAACATTTCGAATGCACTTCCTTCCTCATAATACATTTGCAAAGCAAGATGTATTATTTGAAATCATGCATTCTTTATATTCACATCTTTTTCACATTGTTGATATGCTTCTTTGCACGTTACCACGACTAGTAAGTACACATTTTACTTCCTATGAATTCCTGAAAGAATCCTCAGCTGACAATATCAGTGAGCAGTGCATACAGCAGCATAGTGATGTAATGAAGGTCTCCTTTCTCACAAATGGCAAAGAATGTCAAGGCGACAGCTCTTCGAGGAGCACGACATCACAGACAAAGCACTGGAAACAGCAAACGCATAACTGAGAATTCCTCAACGGCCTGAACAAAAGGAGGAAATAACTGCTTCTTCAGCGCCGTGCGAGGAACAAATGTGTCCGTTAGTGATGTGTGTGTGCGCGAGTGTGTTAAAGTGTCACTTTATCTGATGGCGGCGCATTGCCCAGTCTGGGAGGAGAGTAGAGTGAGGGAGTGAGGGAGGGAGGATAACCTTGACTCAGATTACCAACCAGCCCTGATGCAGGAAGAAGGAAATGTCTCCATGGCAACGGAAACCACCAGCCAGTGTCATGTGAAACTGGTCTCTCGGCAGACGACGGGGCTCACGCTGTGCACCTGCACACGCTGAGCGGGGCCCCGCGCCGCACCGCGTTGCTACTCGCCGAGCGCTAACCGCCACCGCCTCCCACGGTGGGAGAATACGAGGTCCTAACAGGCACGAGCCTCGGCACCACAGGCTCCACCGGTCCAAACGCATACTGAAGCTCAATATGGCTGCCGCCGTGTCCTCAGCAACATGCAAATCAGGTTGAAGTGTGACGCAGGACTGTACTGGTGGAAAACCTTCCTGCCACTCTCTGAAAACTTGAACAACAAATGCAGGCTGAACTACACTGATGGCAGGAACTTTATGCAGGTTGTGCGGTATGCGTCTGTCCTTTTGTCACGAGCATGAGCACATGAGAAGGTCAACTTCTCTCTTTTCTCCCCCCCCCCCCTTCCTATACAGGAACAGGAATGAGTCACACGTAACTCTGCCAGGAGCAGGCGGGCAAAGATTCCTCCAACAAACCCATCTTTGCACTGCAGGTCACGATGGCTTCCTTTCTCGTGAGTGCGACATTGAGGTCTTCCAGAATGTGGGATGCTTCTCTCCTCTGCTTTTTTAACAGTTGCACTACCTTGCAGTGCTTCATGGAGTGTTTGCATTTCCTCAGAAGGAATATGTGTGACCTTCACTGTATTCCACCGTTATCGCAGCAGCAGAGTCAGAGGTCCCTGCGGCTGTGTTGCACACCGTCACATGAGCCACAGTGCAGCTACAAATCGTTACCATCACGTCATCAAACAATGCGATAACAGTTTCCTAAGCTTAGATCTGTGTGAAGTGCATGAAAGTTTAGGAGAAAGTTAAATAACCCTACCTTTCCCAAACTCCTCTCGACCTTGCGGAAGCATTTGTTCAGGGACAAGTTGTGACGGACCGAGTTCTTCCAGCCGGTGGGAGCGTTGGAGAAATAAGGGAAGTGCTCGAGAATCCAGCCGTAGATTTCTTTCACGGGCAAAGATTTGCTGGGAGACTGCTCGATGGCCATGTAGATGAGGAGAGAGAAGGAGAACGGGGGCTTTGACTTCAACGAGTCCCGCTCCCGGCCTCTGCCGTGTGACGAGGAGGAGGAGGAGGACGACGACGGGCCCTGGCTGGACCCGTAGTCTCCCTCTATGTCGAAGAGGGGGCTGCCGCTGGGCTGAGCCTCCGGGCCTCCCAGAGCGAAGTTCTGAAGCAGGTTCTCGTGCAGCCAGTTGAGGTTGGTGAGCTCCTCGTCCTCGGCGCCTCCGGCGCGGTCCACGCTGGTCGCCAGCGGACTAGACGCGCACTCCGCCTCGGGGAGCGTTCCCACGCCGCAAACGCCTTGGAGCCCCGTCCGCTCCTCTTGCATACCCGGAATTTCCGTTTTCTTATCTGGTGACATCCCAATGATTGGACCCATTAAATCAAAGAGGTCTGGAGAGAGAGAGGAGAGGTTGTTAATGTTTGACAGCATGGAGACAACAATCACAGTTTTTGAACTGATTTCATCACAAAGTTGGCAGTATGAAGTAACTGGATGCGACATGACGGAATGATGTGCTCTTCCAAGCGTTGACCTGGTTTTCTTAAGTCTTCCCTGGAGGGGGGCTAACCCCCCCCTGTGGCTGAGCTTGTCTGCCTCTATTGCACCTTCTCACTGCCCCTCTCCTCCACGGCCGGCGAGGCTCTCGGCTCTCCTCCTCCTCCTCCTCCTCCTCCTCCTCCTCCTCTCGACTCTCCTCCTCCTCCTCCTCTCGACTCCGGCCGAGGACCTTCGAGGAGGTCCTCTCAAGCAACTGAACTGACTTAAGGCTCCACTCCTCGACGCCCACCTCGGCTCCAGCTGCTCATTACGTGTGAATGAGCATGAAACCGCCCGACGACTGCAGGAATGAGTGGAAGGCCTCCATCTTTACAGAGTGGATGGCTCTTCTAGACTGATCTGCATGCAGCCAGGATCAAGTCTCAATTTGTCACATGCCAGATTAAGTAGTGTAAAGAGGCTACAGGCACTAGGACATTCAATATTGCTAGAAGCCCTGTATCATTAAGTAATCCCAGCCAAGTACCATTATTAATAAGACAATCATTACTGGCATGTCATCAGCAATGATCCTGTCAAAGAGTTTGAATTGAACCCAAAGCTGAGCAATGGTTTCAAGTACAGGTACAGAAAAACACACTAAAATAAGTAAATATGAAATCAAACGGTGTCCAATAAATCTGAATAACTGTAAAACCAAACAACACAAGCTATGGCTGGTGAGGACAAGAGCACAAAGAGATCTCACAACAACAACCTTTATGTCCTGGGTGTCACCATGACAACCATGCCATCCCTTCAATAAGAGCAGAAAAAAAATCCCCATAGATACAATAAGAAAAATAATAATAATCCATGCTGGCTGGCTCCGCCACAGACGAAGCTCCCGCTGCAGCCGGTGGGTGGACGGGGGGGGGGGGGGGGGGGGGGGGGGGGGG